TTATTCCTTGTCTGGCCTATAGGGAGCTTTAGAAAATAGCTTGACCCGCTCCTCCTCTCTGGGGCAGCCCCTCAGATACTGGAAGGCTGCTCTCCTGTCTCCCCTGGTCCTCTTTACTAGACTAGCCAAGCCCAGTTCCTGCAACCGTTCATTGTATGTTTTAGCCTCCAGTCCCCTAATCATCCTGGTTGTTCTTCTCTGTACTTTTTCTAGAGTCTCAACATCTTTTTTATAATGTGGTGACCAAAACTGGATGCAGGATTCTAGGTGTGGTCTTACTAAGGCTTTATAGAGTGGTATTAGTACTTCCCTTGATCTTGACTGTATCCCTCTGTTAACGCAACTTAGGATTGCATTAGCTTTTTTGATGGCTGCTGCACACGGCTGGCTCATATTTAGCTGGTTGTCCACTAAGACTCCAAAATCCGACTCACAGTTCCTGCTATTGAACCTGGTTTCACCCAGTCTATATGTGTACTTTTGGTTTTTCTTGCCTAAGTGTAGGACTTTACTTTTCTCTACACTGAATTTCATTTTCTTGGAAAGGGCCCAGCGTTCAAGTCTGTTGAGATCCCTCTGGATCTTGAGCCGATCTTCTTGGGTGTTAGCTATTCCTGCCAGCTTAGTATCACCTGCAAATTTGGTAGGTTCCCCTTCTATTCCCTCATCTAAGTCGTTAATGAAGATATTGAAGAGTAGTGGTCCTATGACGCAACCTTGTAGCACCCCACTGCTTACTTCCCTCCATGTAGACTTAGACCCATTAAGGACTACTCGTTGAGAACGGTTTGCCAGCCAGTTGCGAATCCATCTAGTGGTGGTGCTATCTATTCCACTTTTTTCTAGCTTACTAAGAAGTAGGTTGTGGTCTACTTTATCGAATGCCTTGCTGAAATCTAAATATATCCACAGTATTTTGCTGGTCTACTAATTTAATCACTGTGTTGAAGAATGAAATAAGATTGGTTTGGCATGATCTGTTTTTAACAAACCCATGTTGACTGCTAGTTATTACTTTACTTGTTTCTAGATGTTGGCAGATCTGTTTTTTTATTATCTTCCCGGTATCTTCCCGGGTATTGATGTTAGGCTGATTAGTCTATAGTTTCCTGGGTCTGTTTTTTTTCCCCTTTTTTGAAGATGGGAACCTCATCAGCTCTTTTCCAGTCCTCTGGTAGTTCCCCGGTGCTCCAGGATTTTTGAAAGATACAGTGCAGTAGTTCTGAGATGACCTCTGCCAGCTCCTTTAAAACTCTGGGGCTAAATTATTATTCATAACTACTCTCATAAACGTTTCCATGTGCATATTATATCCTTGTTACTCAAGGGTTATTCTGTACATATCATAACAAACTTAATTTTGATTAAATGAATTGAGTAAGGTTAAGAATATTGTCTGAATGCAGCCTTCCTTCAAGGGGGCCTTTCTGAATGCAAGCGAGGAAGGGGGTGTGATGCAATGAATAAGTTAATTAACTGAGTTTGTCTAGTTGCCCATCTCAACTGCATGGTTCTGGAAGGCTAATGAAATAAAACCAATCAGCTGTAGCTATAACATTTCCCTAAGACTGATCTCTAAATGTGAAGAACTGGCACCTCTAGGAAGAAAGAGATGGATGTTCTCCTTATTCCCATAATTATTAGCTGAGTTTTTTAAAATACAAAATTTTCTACAGAACCGAAGAAGCTTCTTGGATGAGAAGCGAAACGTCTTCAAGGAAAAAACAAAAGAAAATTCCAATTGCCTCTTGGAAAAGCAACTTTGGGATGCCTTCCTAGTTGACCTTTTGAAATCTAAGGTTGTTTCCCCATTTCCCTATTCGTTTTTTTCCTTGCTTGAAGAAGTAACAGAGACGTAACGACAACAACCGACCAAGAAAAGCAATATTAAAAAAGAATTGCTGATAGAACAACAGAGTTTGAAGAATAAACACTCATTAGCTCCAAGAACTAAACCAATTATATTGGCCAAAACATTATTTTAATATGATGGACCTCCTGCTTGGGCTGGTGAATTAATTAGGAAGCCAAAAGCAGAATACCAACAAGAGGGCATGTGTTAAAAAAATATGCAACATGAATCTTCCTTAAGAAGTTTGTGCCAATTCTCTCCCCCCTCCCTCTCCCTCTCCTCCCCTTTCCAACTGCTGCTTTCTATTTCTGTTCCCTGGCTTGGCTCCCATGTCATCTATTTGAGGAAACAAAATCACCGCCTTTATTAAGGCTGTCAATATTTTGTTTTTGTTTTTAATTTCTGCCAACTTCTGGCCCCCTTTGATTATTAGATCCATGCCTCCTTGGCTCCCAGCAGCCCTCCCCTTCCGGTTTGGTGTGTGCCAGCCGTGTGCAGCAGCAGCCCAAAAATCCAATGCAATCCTAAATTGCATCAACAGAGGGATTCAATCGAGATCAAAGGAGGCACTAATACCACTCTATAAAGCAAGGGGCTTCAAACTTGGCAAGTTTAAGACTTGTGGACTTCAACTCCCAGAATTCCTGAGCTAACATGACTGGAGGAGGAATTCTGGGAGTTGAAATCCACAAGTCTTAAAGATATCAAGTTTGGGGACCCCTGTCCTAATAGAAGAGAATAATTGTAGCTCAGAGTTGAACCAGTGGGGTCTTTGATGTTCTCTGAGTTTTGGTGGTTTTCTTGCAGATGTTTCACTACCCAACTAGGTAATATCATCAGTGCTAGAAGGGAGTAGGGTTTGGTCTGTGAGTTGGGATTGGTCTACTGCAAAGGTCTCCAAACTTGGTAAGTTTAAGGCTTATGGACTTCCAACTTCCAGAATTCCTGAGCTAACACGACTGGAGGAGGAATTCTGGGAGTTGAAGTCCACAAGTCTTAAAGCTGCCCAGTTTGGGGACCCCTGCTATAAAGCCTTAGTAAGACCACACCTGGAGTCCTTGCATCCAGTTTTGGTCACCACACTATAAAAAAGAGGTTGAGACTCTAGAAAGAGCGCAGAGAAGAGCAACCAGGATGATGAGGGGACTGGAGGATGAGACATACAGAGAACGGTTGCAGGAATTGGGCCTGGCTAGTCTAGTGAAGAGAAGGACCAGGGGAGACAGGATAGCAGCCTTTCAATATTTGAAGGGCTGCCACAGAGAGGAGGAAGGGGTCAAGCTGTTTTCTAAAGCATCCAAAGACCAGACAAGGAATATTGGATGGAAACTGACCAAGGAGAGAGATTCAACCTGGAAATAAGGAGAATTTTTCCTGACAATGAGAACAATCAACCCATGGAACAGAAGTTGCCTTCGGAAGTTGTGGGAGCTTCATCCCTGGAGGCTTTCAAGAAGAGACTGGACTGCCGTCAGTCAGAAATGGTGTAGCTTGGGTTGGGGGTCGACCTACAAAGTCCCTTCCAGCTCTTATTATCTGTTACCTCTGTTTAAAAAATGCCTTGGAAGGCCTCATGTGACCCACATAGCATTCCTTCTTGTGACTCTTTTCCTCCCTGGTTTCCTTCCCTAGGTAAGTGAGGAATGTCCCGAAGAGAAAGTCGGCTGTTTTGCAGCACGGACGAGAGGCACAGCCTGGGAGTCTGAACGTTGGCGCTCTGGCCCGGCTGGGCCCTGGTGGGAATCGGTGGAAAGAGAGAAGCAGAAAGCAGAAGATGAGAAGAAGAAAAAGGTGTGAGCCGTTTGCGGAGTTTCTGTAAAAGCTGTGGAGATGCCCTCAAGGAGACCCAGAATGCTGCTTGCTTCCCTGGGGGGTCTTCTAGATCAGGGGGTCACCAACCTTTTGGACCTCAGGGACCACTAAACTCATAATTTTAACTTCTGCGGACCACTAATATGATCTGCCTAATGACTGGCTGGGTGGGCATGGCTTGGTGGGCATGTGACTGGGTGGGCATGGTCAACTGGATGCCACACACATCGTGGAGGTGCCTCGCTGGCCTTTACTCGCCCTTCCCCTCCCAGTCCCTCCTCACCTACCTGCCCGAGCTCCTTAGGGCCCCAACAGGAAGTAGTTGTTAGAGAAAGAGTTGACAAAACAGCTGGTGTCAGCCTTCAAGATCTTCTTCCTTTGCTTTGCTTCTTTCTGGCTGTCATGAGTAACGGGGGGTGGAAGGGGGAAATGTATGGGAAGTGAGCTGGAGGTGTTACTAACTAATATTGTATAAACTGAGCAGGGTTTCTATTTCTTGCTTAGCTTTCTCTTCTCTGCGCAACTGCAAACCTTTATCTGAGTAAAGCCAAGGTCAACTAATCATCACCACCTGGAGATGTCCACATGATGAGGTTCACAACTTTTCATTGGAAGAACCGTTTGAACTATTGGGGGGTGGGAACATTTCACTCCCTTGATATATGTGATGTACGTGCCTATTTCCTCAGATTCAGAATTCTCTTGTTGCTACCACTTGACTTCCAGTAAAAGATATCTTTTCTCTAATTACAAGAGTCTAAGTATTTCTTTCTTGGATTTTGAACGGAGCACCAGCTGACATTATTCTGAATCAAATTGGATCTGGCCGAGAAGGAGGTTCAGCAGAAGCACCTCCCTGAGGACTAGGAGCATAGGCTTTCCAAGCAGAGGGAAGACCTGCAGGAGTGCAAGGCCAGGTCCTGGCCCCTGGAGGCTCAGCGGGCTGAGATGGTCAGCCAGTTCCAGGCCATGATGCAGTCCTGCTGGGTCTTTGCCACCAGTGGCCTTTCCCTCCAGCCTTTGCCCAAAGCCCCCCACACCAGGAGGCTGAACCAGGCCCCAGGTTGGAATTTCTGGCCCCCTCCGACCAGGACAAAAAGACCCCGAAGGGGGAGACTCTGCAGCGCCACAAAAGGGGACCGTAGTTTGAGGACCCCCTGATTTAATGCAATATAAAAAATGCAAATAATTTTTCTCACAGACCACCAACATTTTCTCACAGACCACCAGTGGTCCACGAACCACCGTTGCTACTCTTAGGAGGGGGTCCTTAGATATTTGCAGCTCAGATCTGGTGTCCCAACTTAACAACGGTGGAGTCCGCTTATTATTCCTCGCATTCGTTGTCTTTTCCAGCTTGAGGCTCTCAATAATGCCAGGTTGAAGATCGACACCTTGGAAGACTTGGCGGCCATTGTCAAGCATCACAAGCAGAGGAAGAAAAAGTGTAAGAAAGTGGTCCTCCCCAAACCGCAGGAGCCGGAAATCACTGTAAGTATTCGGGAAGGTTTCTCCAATGTGCAGAACCTCGATGTGCAGGGCATCTCCAGCATGTTTGAGAAGGCGTCGGGCTCCGCTGAAAGATCCAAGTGTCCAGCTCAGAAGTGTAATTAGATCTGGCCTTGAGCATCCTGATTAGACATTGGCAAGGGTTAAAAATGGCTTTGCTTATCGGAGTTAATATTAGATACTAATAATAGATACATATTCAGTATCTGGAGGGTGCAGATAACTAACAATCTGAACTGATCTCTCCACACGGCATCCTTAGTGAAACGTGCAAACCAGCACCTGCATTTCGTGTGTCGGATGAGGAGAGCACATCTTCCTCCTTCATCATGGCCACTTTTTTACTGAGGCACGATTGAGAGCACTTTAACAAACCGCATCCCTGTTTGGTTTGGTGGCGGCAGCGCCTCAGATAGAAAGCCCCTACAGAGAGTGGTGAGGACAACCAAGAATATTATAGGAAGCTGGCTTCCCGTTATTCAGAATGCTGCTTATAAGCACTATATGCTTTGAGCTCAAAGCATCGTTAGAGACCCCACACACCCATTTTATGACCTGTTTCTGTTGCTCCCCTCTGGGGGGAAGTTTCAAATTATTTCTAGCAGGACTACCAGATCCTGGAACAGCTTTGTTCCCTCGGTCATCTGCCTGGTAAAACTGCAAGATTTGAATTCTCTTGCCATAAGCACTATGTTGTTCCTTGTGTCATATAATATATGTGGATATATACATAATTTTCTATCTATCTATCTATCTATCTATCTATCTATCTATCTATCTATCTATTTATTCTGTCATGGTTATGTAGTGTAAAATTGGAGGTGGGGACCCTTTGAGAGCTTATGGAACAAAATTTCATTTTAATGTATGTAGATTAGAGTACATTCAAAGGGATAGTTTATTCTATCTATCTAATTCAGAAGGGAAGAGGAAGGAGGAGAGAAGTGGAGGAGGAGGAGAAGGAAGAGGTAGAAGAGGAAGAGGTAGGAGAAGGAGAAGAGGAGAAGGAGGAAGATGTAGAAGAGGAGGAGGAGAAGAAAAGGGGGAAGAAGGAGAAGATACATGTATAGATTTCTTGGCTCTCCTTTGCTCGTTCATTTCTCAGCACTATTTTGTAAGACCAATTCAGTCTCGGGGGAAGCCTCTATTTCTGGAAAGGACAAATGTAAAAAGGATGGCAGATGAAAACTTGCCATGAGAAGATAAAATTATGGTTCTCTTTCGGCTTTTTTATATAAAGCCTGTGGTGTTTCCTTGGCAACAAGATGAAGGTAGTTTGCCATTCTTAATAAAAGGAATAACAGAGTCACAGAGTTGGAAGGGACCTTGGAGGTCTTCTAGTCCAACCCCCTGTTCAAGCAGGAGACCTTATGGCATCCCAGACAAAGTGGCTCTCCAGTCTCTTCTTAAAAGCCTCCAGTGTTGGAGCATTCCCAACTTCTGCAGGTAAGTTGCTCCACTGATTAATTGTTCTCATTGTCAGGAAACAAACCCTCCTCCAGGAGCCACAGGGAGTCAAAAAAGTCAATAAGGCCACCGGAAACTCCCCACACGTTGACTCTCCCTCCCTTCTGTACCCCAACTCTCTCCTTTCGAGCACCCCAGTAAACACTTCTGGGTAATTCCTGCCTTGTCTTTTCTTAGATTGAATCGGTGGAGCCAGAGCAGTTTCTTGATGCCGCGCTGGAGAACCGGATCCTTGTGATCGATAAATACCTGGCCGATGGAGGAGACCCCAATACCCATGACAAGGTATGGTGGGGGACAACAAGGAACTCACGCTGCCCCCCCAACAGATTTTCCAAGGGGAAAATTTAGATTCCAGGGTACCTTAGTTATTGCTTTTTCAACTTAGCCCGGTCAGCCAAAACTTTCACTTCTTATCTTCCTCCTGCACGTTCTTTTTTGGTTGAGTACTTCTTTGAGGTGGCCATTTCTGACCACCGCTCCTACCGCCTTTGGGAAAAGGAGTTTGACCAGCTGAGGAGGGGAGATGCGGCTCTCCTCGACCCTGCTGGCAGTCTCCCCCTTCTTCACCACCTCTACGGGGTGGCTTAGCCCCGAAACCAGCCGGCTTGGGGCGCTGCGGCAGCGAGCCCAGGCAGAAACCGTGCACGATCGCGGATTCCTGTCTGTCGCCGAAGCCCTTCAAACCGGAAGTCCAATCCCAAGTCATTTTAGAGGGCTTAAGTTTGCAATCGAAAACAGTTTCATGTTAATATTTCACATGTTCTAACATTTTATATTTATAGCCCCTGAGTAGGGACCACAGGGTCATAAATAGGGAACTTAGCTCCATGCTGCTTCTTTTTGGGTGATAGATCAGGAAGTCTGAATGAATGGAGGCAGAAAACTGGGGTGTTTTTCCCCTCTTTCTGAACTATGCAATCCCAAATTTTGCTCCCCCCCCCCAAGTGGTTTTCTACCAGTTGAGCTGGTCTCATAACACTACACCCTACCAAGGTACTCAAGCGCCACCTGCTGGCCACCAGGGGCGTTGACGGAGCCCCATCTATAGACCCGATGGATACTCGCAGAAATATCAAAAATTAAAAACCTTTTAAAAATTAAAATGTTCCAGAATTTGCTTGGCCATAATTCCTAGCAGTGATAAACCATATCATGGCCATGGTTAGGGACGATGGGAGCAGTCCTTCACCAACCTATGAGGTTCCCAGCAAAGATTTTCGGTGTTCAGCTAATTTTGGGAGTTTTAGTTGAGCCATTCATAATACAGGCAAAATAGTTTGGGTAAGAAACATTGTTCAGAATAATCCACTTGTTTTTTTAGCCTTGGAAGTTTGGAAAGGGCATTATTTTTAGAAGAGGTGCTCAGATTCTCTTTTCCTTCCACCAAGAAAATAGTATTTTATTTTTAAAAGCTATCAAAAAAAAAAAAAAAAGAGTTGTTAACCTAATCCTGTGTAGCTTTTTCTCCGGCAACTCCGGCAACACACTACTATCTAGAGCATACAAAACATTTGCTAAACCAATACTCGAATGCAACTCATCAGTCTGGAACCCACATTATGTATCTGATATTAACACAGTTGAGAAAGTCCAGAAATATTTCACAAGAAGAGTTCTCCGCTCCTCTACTTGTTGCAGAATACCTTATGCCACCAGACTTGAAATTCTAGACCTAGATAACCTAGAACTATGCCACCTTCGGTCCAATCTAACTATAGTACATAAAATTATCTACTGCAATGTCCTACCTGTCAATGAATACTTCAGCTTCAACCACAACAATACAAGAACACACAATAGATACAAACTCAAGGTAAACCGCACCAAACTTGATTGCAGGAAATACGACTTCAGCAATAGAGTGGTCAATGTCTGGAATACTCTACCTGACTCTGTGGTTTCTTCCCCAAACCCCAAAAACTTTAACCTTAGACTGTCTACTATTGACCTCACCCCTTTCCTAAGAGGTCTGTAGGGGGCGTGCATAAGCGCACCAACGTGCCTACCGTCCCTGTCCTATTGTTTCTTTTATTTTTCTTATATATATCCATTTCATGTATTCATAACTATGTTTATCCTTATACCTGTTATCTTATAATCGCTTGACAAATAAATAAATAAAAAATAAATAAAATAAAATAAAAAAGCTTGTCTCAGGAAAAAAAAAATGTTGGTCTCTGGAATTGGAACATCTTTTCAAAGAATCATTAGGCTGGAGAATTATTCCCCAAGAGATAACCTCCTCTTTGCTCTCTGCTACAGTTCAAATGTACAGCCCTGCACCGAGCCTGTTTGCGGGGCCACAAGGAGATCGTGGACAAGCTGCTGGAAGCGGGGGCCAAACTGGAGCCAAGGGACATGGTGAGTCTCGATGGGGCGGCTTACAAATCCCCAATCCCAGCGTTTCCGAGATGCCGGAGAGCGCTGGTGTTGCAGGTGTCTCGCGCAAAGAGCAAGAATTGCTTTCTCTCTTGGCTTTGCAATCTGGGACAGGGGTCTCCAACCTTGGCTGCTTTAAGACTTATGGACTTCCGGATGAGAGCTTCTTTGTGGCGGCCATTTCTGACCGCCGCTCCACCGCTTTCGGAAAAGGGAGTTAAGCCGGCTGAGGAGGAGAGTTGCGATTCCCCCCGACACCTGCCGGATCTCCCCTATCTTCAGTTACCTCTACGGGGTAACTATAGCCCCGAATCCGGCTGGATCGGGGCACTCCAGCGGCGAGCGCAAGCAGAAACCGCGCACGATCGCGGATTCCTGCCGCTGCTGAAGCCCTGCAAACCGGTTGGAGACCCCTGGACCTTCAGCAGAAAAAAAAAAAAAAAAAAAAGAGGATTGAATCCCTGGTTTGTCAGCCTCTCCCTAACTCTCCTCCCTGGCAGAGTGAGTGTGATGACCCAGAGTGTATCAGAAATATAACAAAACCCAAAACATAACTAAAAGTCCTTGAATGCCTTCAACTTGGCTTCACTACTTTAATTGTTCACAGCGTAGGAGTAAACTATTTTCAAAATAACATTTCAAAGGAAAGAAACACAGTTCAAATTCAAAGAGCCGATAACAAAGCAAAAACCAAAAACGAACCGCACAGACCAGGATAAGTAAATTGCCAACTTCAGGAAGATAACCAGGTACAGTCCATTGGAAGAACGACAACCAAGATGAACCTTCTTTAGGAATAAAACACTAATTTGTCTCCAGCGTCTGTTAGCACGCAGGTCCAAATTCTTATGCAGATCTCACACCTGCAACCCATGAAGAGGATCATGGCCCTCTCCTCCTGAGTAGACCACATTTTACCCTGATCCTCTCCCCCCTGCATGCCCTAGGATGGATAAGGGATGGGCCTGGGTCCTCCCCTAACTGCTCAGTCTCCACCAGGGCCATGACAGTTAGGGTTCAACAGATGCAGCGCTCCCAGGTTGCGGAAAGCTGGTTAAAGCATGCCAATGACTGGACGTCCATTTATCTGGGATGGCATTAAGGACTCTTGCCTCTAGTTGGTCTAGACTTCCAAGGACCCTGTGCTTCTAAGTGATGTGGGTTTGCCGCATTTCTGCCTACTTGCTACGATCTATGAGCCACGGTGGTGCAGTGGTGAGAGTGCAGGAGTGCAGGCTCCTGCTGACTGCCTGCTGCATGGTATTCCCAGGCCCTCTAAAACAGGGGTCTCCAACGTTGGCCACTTTAAGACTTGTGGACTTCAACAGAGCTGGCTGAGGAATTCTGGGAGTTGAAGTCCACAAGTCTTAAAAGTGGCCAACGTTGGAGACCCCTGTTCTAGAAGGTAGTTTTGGTAACCTTAGAACTAGGAAGCCAATTAGCACCTTTTGATGCTTTTTCCTATCCAGGATAGGAATAACCAGCAAGTCAGAATGCCCAGTGACTTTCTCTAAATCAGCTTTTAAAACTTTCCATGAGGTGCATTGGAAGGTCTTCTCCATTCACCCCCCAACAATGGAAAGCTGAGCACAGTTTGGAAGGTTGGAGAAGGCCGGCCTAAGAAGGATCTTGGTATCTTCTGCTTTGTTTGGTGCAGCTGGAAGCAACCCCCTTGCTCTGGACTTGCCGCGGGGGACATCTGGACATCCTCAAGGGGTTGATCAGCCGCGGAGCCAAAATTTCCACCCGGGACAAGGTAAGTGGTGGAAAGATGGAGGGGTCGCCTATCCTGTACCTAAATGAGCCACCTCCCGAGGATTCACGATGGACCTTTCCTTCCGGTTGTAGCTATGGAGCACCCCTTTGCACGTGGCGGTCCGTACCGGCCACTCTGACTGCGCTGAACATCTCATTGCCTGTGGAGCAAAGATCAACGCCCAAGATAAGGTGCAGGAAGCGGGGGAAGGAATGGGGTCGAGGGGTACCTTATCTTGGCCGTCTCCATCCCAACCTTCATTCAGGGGTGGGATTCAAAAATCCCAGCAACTGGTTCGCTGTCTGGTTGCTGGGTGGGTGTGGTTATGGTGGGCATGGCCTACTGGAACCTCTAAGAGGACTGTTTTTTGCTTTCCCCGGAGTCCGGAGGCTTGCCTCAGGCCTCTGGGAGGGCAAAAATGGCCTCCACTGGGCTCCGGAAGCCAGAAATAGGCCCGTTTCTGAACTTTCAGAAGGCCCGTTTTTCCCCTCCGAGCCTCCATGCAGGCCCTGCACTTACCTGCATCAAAAATGGGCCACATGGAGACTCCTGGGAGGGGCGGGGCTAGCCAGTCAGTTCAAATACCAGTTCAGTGAACCAGATGCGAATTTAACATCCGGTTTGCCTGAACCAGTCCAAACCGGTAGAATCTCACTCCTGCTGTCAGGTGAGGCTCCATTCAAAATCCAAGAAAGAAACGCTTAGACTCCGTGGTTATAGAGAAAAGGACTTTTTACTGGAAATCAAAATGGTAACATTCAAAAGAATTCAAGATCTGAGTCATTGGGTGCGAAAAATCACATATACAAAGTTCCCACCCACAATAGTTAAAACTGGCCATCCAATCTGAGACATGTATAATGTCACGTGGTGCATCTTCAGGTGGTGTTTCAGACATCTGGCTTGCCAGGGGCTCACCTGCCTTCATTATAGTGATATTCTCCTAATTATCTTTTCTTTTTCTTTTTTTTTGTGGGAGAAACATTGAGAGTAAGGAAAGTATTTGCTTCAGTCTGAACCTTGGGTGATCGGGACTTAAAATGCTCAAAAGAATGTCGTACGGTGGCCAAAACGGGGGAATTCTGGGAATTGGAAGTTCATAAATCTTAAAAAGTTGGCAAGGTTGGGACGACACAGCAATAGATGTATTTGGACTACCTACTCGAGACCGGGTTTTGGTGGCTTAACCTGAAACCCAAACCCAAACCCAGTCTTTTTTGGTTAGTCCAAAGCACTGTGCAAGGCCAGGAAAAAAAACAAAACCCTGAGATAATTCATAACCAAACCAAACGTGTTGTGCGAATGCAGACAATCCCTTTTTTCCTTGGCCAGGAAGGAGATACACCTATTCATGACGCAGTCAGGCTAGGACGATTCCAGGCGGTGAAGACCTTGTTGATGTACGGGGCAAATCTTAGCATCCAGAATGAGGTGAGCAAAAAAAAAACACAAAAAAAAACTTAGCTGGGGAATTCAAGAAGTTGTAGTCCACTAGTCTTCAAATTGCCAACGATTGGACACCCCTAACTTAACCCCTTAACCATTCCTTGTCATTGGTTGCCCTTAACCCCTCTTTCAAAGAGCTTTGTAGCTCCCGCTGCCGTAAGAAAGTTCAAAACATTCTTAAAGATCCATCTCATCCTGGGCTCCCCCTTTTTTTTTTTTTTGAACCATTACCATCTGACAGATGGTACAGGACAATAAAAACAAGGACAAATAGCCTGAAAAACAGCTTCTATCCCAGGGCAGTAACTATATTGAATCCTACTGTGTAAAGGTTCCCCTCGCACCTATGTGCTACTCGTTTCCGGCTCTAGGGGGCGCTGCTCATCTCCGTTCCAAAGCCGAAGAAGAGCCAGCGCTGTCCGAAGACGTCTCCGTGGTCATGTGGCCAGCAGGACTAAACACCAAAGGCGCACAGAACGCTGTTACCTTCCCACCAAAGGTGGTCCCTATTTTTCTACTTGCATTTTTAACGTGCTTTCGAACTGCCAGGTTGGCAGAAGCTGGGACAAGAAACAGGAGCTCGCTCCGTTACGCGGCGATGGGGATTCGAACCGCTGAACTGCCGACCTTTCTGATCGACAGGTTCAGCGTCTTAGCCACCGAGCCAACATGTCCCTACTTTTTCTACTGTATAATGCAATATGAATGCAATATGAAGGGTTTCCAATTCAATTGTATAGAATGTGAAGGATGTTTTTTTCTGTTATTTTTATAGCTTTCTTGTGTATAAATGTACACTGAAGATGGCATTTAATTTCCTTGTACGAGGTGCAATGACAATCAAGTTAAAGTAATCACAGGACAGCGTGTAGCAGAGTCCCCCCAAGGAGTCTCTTGCAGTGGCCGAAGCGATCAGAGATAGCTCAGGATGAAGCATACCTCCAATTACACATGCTTCTTTTTATGAAGTGTTCCTGAGAGTAAATAAGGGACGCGGTGGCTCAGTGGCTAAGACGCCGAGCTTGTTGATCAGGAAGGTCGGCAGTTCAGAGGTTTGAACCCCCAGCGCCGCGTAATGGAGTGAGCTCCCATCCCCAGCTTCTGCCAATCTAGCAGTTCGAAAGCATGTTAAAAAAAAAAGTGCAAGTAGAAAAATAGGGACCCCCTTTGGTGGGAAGGGAACAGCGTTCTGTGCACCTTCAACGTTTAGCCCTGCCGGCCACATGACCACGGAGACATCTTCGGACAGCGCTGGCTCTTCGGCTTTGTAACGGAGATGAGCAACGCCGCCCCCCTAGAGCCGGGAACAAGTAGCACATATGTGCAAGGAGGGGAATCCTTCACACCTTTACTGAGAGTAAAAAGCGAAAGAAAAAAAAATGATCTTGTAGTTTTGGGGAGGAATGGCAGGCACGGGGTGCATTTGGAAGGTAGACTTTACTAGGGGGGGGAAGAGTTGCAATGCACAGTAGGTGAAAATGTTCCGCAGCTGCCTTCCCGTTTAGTGGGAATATTAGGTTCTTTTATAGCAGCTACTTCTTTACATCCTCTGCATATAGTAAAAAACCATCCTACCGAATGATGAGTAAATTGAAGCAGCAAAGAGTTGGGAGTGGCCATTGAGCCCAGGTACAGGCTAGCCCTTCCTCGTGTGGACTAGCATGCTGCTGAAACAAGACAAAGCAAGTCCCAAAGGTGTTTTTTTTTCCAAAAAGCAACTGAAACAAAAGTTCCAGGATCGAGCCAGAAGGGACCTTGGAGGTCTTCTAGTCCAGCCCCCCTGTTCAAGTATTTCAGACAAGTGGCTGTCCAGTCTCTTTTTAAAAACCTCCGGTGAGCCTTTAGTAACAGAAGCCTCGTCTGTTCTGTACCTGTCAGTCCAGGTTATCAGTTACACAGGAGAGGTATTGATGAATGTTCCTAAGGAAAGAAACACCCTCCTCCTACTATAGCAGTGCTCATCGGCTACCACACTGTTAGTGAAGGGGCATCTGGGGGGGAAATCCTATGCCAAATCCAAAGATCTAACTTTGTTATATAAATATCGCCTTTGTTAGGACAGCATTTTATTAGATTACCAGTTACCGTGGAATCGGCAAATGTAACGCAAAGTCCCCATCTGCATCCAAATTGGCCATTGCATCTAACTTCCCTAAATAATTTCACCTCACTCACTTTTACCATATGTAGCGTTTTTTGAAAGCTATTTTTAAGAAGGACAATGTTTAAAATTACTTAAAATGCACGGGAATATAGTGTGAATGGTACTTAAAAAAGAATTACAAATAGCCATTTTGAAAAAGCACCTTTGGGACCTGAAGAACTGAGAATCCATCTGACATCTGTCAGGAATGGTGTAGGGTAGTGGCGGGATTCAAATTTTTTTACTACTAGTTCTGTGGCCGTGGCCTGGTGGGCGTGGCAGGGAAAGGTTACTGCAAAATCCCCCATTCCCTCCCCGCTCCACTAACCTGCTTTCCAGCTCCGTTCTCCTGTGCAGGGCAACCAAAGAAGACCCAGCCGATCAGCTGTGGGCGTGGCTTGGTGGGCGTGGTATTTGTGGGTGTGGCTTGTTGGTTTGTTGGGCATGGCAGGGGAAGGACACTGCAAACTCTCCATTCCCTTTCCACTCCTGGGGAAGGATAGACTGCATAATCCCCACTAACCTGCTTTCCAGCTCCGTTCTCCTGTGCAGGGCAACCAAAGAAGACCCAGCCGATCAGCTGGGACATGGGAGGCGGAGAATAGATTGGGGTTGGCGGGGCCAGTCAGAGGTGAGGTGGGATTGGCCGGTTCTCCAAACTACTCAAAATTTCTGCTACCGGTTCTCCAGAACCAGTCAGAACCGGCTGAATACCACCTCCTGCTTGGGTGAGTAGGGGGGGGGTTGGACTAGATGACCTACCAGGTCCCTTCCAACTCTTAATCTGAAATCTCCGCAGAGACGGAGCTTTATGGCATCGTGGCCAATGGGGAAAAAATCTACTTTGCTTCTCACGATGAGCCACCCTTGTGTCTTGGTAGGAGGCGGTCACCCCAGTCGACCTGGTGAAGGACTGGCAGACGGGCATCCGGGAAACGCTCCAAATGTGCGCCAACCGGCAGCAGGGCCTAGCCAGGAGCTGCTGAATGTGTGTGTGTGTTTGGGGAGGGCAGGGGGCTTGAAGTAATGAGGTGTTGACTCTACAAGCCTCCTCCACCTTGTGACCAACTCACCATCCTTGTCCCCTTTTTTTGCACCAAACTGGGCAGATCTCTTTGGCCCCCTTCAACAGTAATAACAATCCTGGGCTTCTTGCATCCCCAGCTGATGTGGGGCAACCATCTGGGCTCTAAGGCAGTGGTGGCCAACTGGCAGGCCGGGGGCCACTGGTGGGCCGCGAGAATATTTTGGTGGTCCGCAGAGAAATGTTCGGCCATGAAAGCAATTAATCCAGGCTGCGCGGGGACACAAGGCTGTGCCGCCCACATGGCCTGCCCCTCCGTTGGCCTGCCCACCCTTTGGCCGAGCGCAAACCTTGAGTAGAGCCACGCGAGCTGAAACTGGGAGGGGAGACCAACGGCCGGGGAGGGAAATCCGCCCCGGGGTGGCTTATTGACGTTGGTGGGAAAGTCGGTCCCATATTCCAGAGCTGCCAGTAGCCACAGGACGGGCCCTTTGGTCATCCCAGAGCGGCTGCTCCAGTCCGTGGCAGGCCGGTGCACCCAGGAGAAGGAGCAGCTGCTCCGGGATGACCAAAGGGCCCGTCCTGTGACTCCTGCAGCTCTGGAATATGGGACCGACTTTCCCACCCACGTCAGCAAGCCACCCTCAGTCAACATTCATCTTAGTGGTCCGCGGGATTTAAAATGACGAGTTTGGTGGTCCCCGAGGTTCAAAAGGTTGGCGGCCCCTGTTCTAAGGACCTCCTTGAAGCTTTGTCTCCCAAGGAGGAGACATTTTGTGCGTGTTAGCCAAGCTGGGTAAGGGACAGGAACAGGCACGCTTGCATTCCTCCTGGCTACCCATAGAGGGCAGCCTGGTGGGGCTTCGGGCAAGAAGAAAGCTCTGCCTTCCAGCCTCCAAAGTCCAGGGGGCTTAAGCATCCCAGGGGGCTGCAAGGCAGGCATGATATTCTTCCGATTAAAATCGGAATTCCGATTTTTTTGGGAATCGCCCCCTCCTTTCCCCCCACCCCTTCTTCTCCTCCTTCCCCTCCCCTCGGAGGCCCCGAGTCAGGAGTTGCTGGTGCGGCTCCAGTCCCGCGTTGCCTCAGGAAGGGAAAGGCAAAAAGGAAGAGCCGCGGCGGCGCTTTGCAGCGGCAGCAGCGGCTCCTGGTTTTGCCTTTCCCTTCCCGAGGCAACGCGGGACTGGAGCCGCGTGGAGCTGCGCCGACGGTAGCAACTCTTGACAGCCCCAGCCGGATACCTGAGCGGAGCCCGGGCGGTGCGAGCGGAGGCCGCTGAGCGGCAGGAAAAGGGAGCTGGGCCAGCCACAGACCAGCCTCCGTGCAACACGCCGCCGCCCGGCCCTGGCGAGGGAAGGCAGTGGGTGCTCCCCGGGCGCGCGGCGGGGGGTCTCTTTTGGCCGGCCCCGATTTTTTTTTTCAGAGCAGAATATCATGCCTGCTGCAAGGAGAAAGGCCAGAGAGAGGGTGCGAGGTTCCCCTGCCCAGGTGGCCAAAACGGACCAAATCCAAGGAGCTACTACCCATTCGGGGTGCAGGTTTTTAGGGGACTGTCCATGGCGGAAAGTTGAGCCCTGCCGCTGCCTCTCTGCTCCACGGGTCGGTGCCGCTGGCTCAGCCGCTGCCTGGATCTGTGGAGGAGCAAGCTCAAATTTTAAGGGGAAGAAGCAGAGGTGGCGCTCCCGCCTCACGAAAATCAGGAGGCTGAGCGTTCAATCCTAGGTAGAAGCAGAGATGACTGAGAATAAATCTGCTGGAACAAAATTCCGCACTGGCGACAGGAAAGGCATCCGGCCAGTAAAACACTCTGCTAGCTCCATTCAGTTGCCCAGACTCTATTATTAAATGAGGAGGATGATAAGGCCTGGCTTCAAAGCACATACGCTGGTGGTCTCTGGGAGGCAGCTCCCCTGGAAGGGGCATCTCGTCACGGTCCTCCCTGATGCTGGGGTTGAGGGCTGGGAAATGTTCTTCCAGAGGTGGAAAGAGCCTGCGGCCACTGGAGGGGAGGCCAGATTGAAATCCTCTTGAGCTTCTTACCCCCCCCCCCTTCTCTGGAATGAGTCAAACATCCCCTGGTGAAGCAGGTGATCAGTATATCCACCTTCCTTTTGGGCCCCCATCTCTTCAGTCTGTGAAGCCACCAGTAGTTGGGACGAGACAACTCGCCATGGCCAACTCGCCGCAGGACAATTCAGCAATTCAAATTGAAAAAGAGTTTTAAAAAAATTAAGTTTAATTTTTGCCATTCCCATTTTATTTTGTCCCTCCTTCGGCATCCTTTTAACGATCGTCTTCCCCTTATTTCAGCGGTCTTGGACTCAAGGCCCTGGGGCCCAGATCCGGCCTGCGGTGTGGTTAGATTGGGTCCACGAGGCTGTCCTGGAAACCGAAGGCGGCCGGGCACTGACCTAAAACTTGGTGGCAGCCATCTGGGCTGGAATGCAGTCAGCCGTAGATCTGTGGAGCCGCTCTGGAGTCGGTGAGGGGCCTCCGCCAACCCCCCCCCCCGGGGCATGCGCTGGAGACAACGGAACTCCCCAGCCCCAGCTGGGCCACCCCAGGCGCCTCCGACGTGAATGTCAGGCTGGCCACGCCCACCCAGTTGGCTGCAACCACCCCACCCATGCCCACCTGGCTCCCCAAAGTCAGCCACAACCCTGATGCAGCCCCTCAATGAAAGAGTTTGACACCCCTGTTCTTCCCTATTTGTGTAACTCTTGTCCTGCGTTGAGTTGGCCATGTCAAGTTGACCATCTCAAGTTGCCACCAGCGGCTGTTCCCCTGCCACCGTTTCCACCCATTGTTGACCCTGCGTCCCTGAGTGTCCTCACCCTTGTTCCTTGGTACATTAGACAAGAGGGGGTGGTCTTCCTTGGTCCTGCTGGACAGGCAGAGCTCTCCCCCACCAATACCTCCCAACGCAATTCCTCCAAATGAACAAAGGGGCCAAGTACGGCCAACGGTGCAAAGTTTGCACTGGGCCAGCTGGCTATCCTTTTGCAAGCCCCATGACGGACTATAGTAACTCCATAGTAACTCCTTTGCTTGGAGGGGGAACTGAGTTGTCCCTACTGACCTCTACCTATTCGTGACTTCAAGATCTGCCTTCAACGAGCACGTGCCCCAGAGCCGGGACAGGAATCCATGAAAGCCAGCCTTGCTCTCTCTCTCTTAAAGCTGGAACGGGATTCGTACTACACCGGCTCTGGTGACTATTTATTTATTTCCGGCCTGCCCTTCTTCTCCCTTTTCCAGAGGAAGGGCAGCCGAGACGATTACTTGAATTTTCCTTTGTAAACCAATGCCAACGTCACTTCTTTGCGTCGGTTTGTGACACACCCACCCACAAACCGAAAAGCAGTCACAAACGATACTGTACTCCATTTTGTCTTAAAAGTCTGGGGAATGATGGCTCCTTCATGACCGGCGCACTTCCACTCCCAGGGTTCCCAAGCCAGCCAGGAATTCTGGGAGTTAAAAGTCCACAGGTCATAAAAGAGGACCATAGTTCCTCATCGCCTGACTGGTCTGTTAGGGGTCTCCAACCTTGGCCATTTTTAAAGACTTGTGGGCTTCCAACTCCCAGAATTCCTCAGCCAACATGGCCGTCTGAAGAATCCTAGGAGTTGATGTCCACAAGTTCTTCAAAGTTGCCAAGGTTTGGAGATTTCTGGTCTAAGTCATGCCAGGTCCCTGTGCGCAGGCAATTCGCCAGTCTGGCGTCAAGATTGACTTTTGAGGTGGTTTAGCCGTGGGCCAAGGTCTCCGGTATCACCCCAGGACTGGACCCTCCGTCCATGCCCACCGCAAGACCCCTGACCATGAATGGAGGGGGCGCATGGGCGAGACTGGCGGGCTTTCCAGAAAAATACTCCACTTAGGAAGCAGATTGTACAGTGCTACTAAGGCTTCCTTCCCTAAAAACTTTGTGAGGGCGGTGCTGCTGTGATGTGGTTTTTCTTTTGTAAATAATAAAAGTTATTTTTGTGTCCTGAATGATGAGTTTGGAGAGCAATTGTGGCTGCGACAAAAGGTTGGCCTTGAAAAACCGCCTGTCTTTTCTAGGCTGGAACAGGACTTGAGAGGAAAATTGTTTTTATTTACACCCACTGAACAGACATCTAAGGCCCCCAATTTCCGTGGGGAGGGAGGAACTCCCCAAAAGTCACCACCCTGGATGTAGATTGCAGGGGTCCTTCAGGCCAAAGTTCCAGGCAACAAAACGTTAGCCTGGCCTTTGCTGTGCTACCTTTCTACCTGCAGGCCAGCATTCACCACGGTTGCCTTCTTGAAAGCATCTCGGATACACGTTTCCTTGAAGTATGACGGCCCGCAGAATGAGCGCGATGGTAGCTGCTCTAACGCTCCCCAAAGAAAAAGAAGCGGCTTCTCTAGGAAGGCAGGAGGAAGATCCACTCCCTTCATCTGGTTACCGGAGGAGGAACCCGTTTTCTGAAATTCCCCCTTTTTGACACTACAGTGGCGGTGTGTCTGTGTGTGTGTTTTTTTGGCCTCCCGGGCTCCGGAGGCTTTCCTCAAGCCTCCAGGAGGGCAAAAACAGCCTCCCTTGGGCTCTGGAGGCCAGAAACGGGCCTGTTTCCACCATTCCAGGACTTTCCCTCTCCCCGAACCTCCCCATGTGCCCTGCACTTACCTGGGATTCAAGGTGGGCTGCATGGAGACTCCAGGGAGGGGAGGGGCCAGCCAGTCATTGCAACTACGGGTTCGGTGAACCAGATGTAAAATTAACACCCGGTTTGCCTGAACCGGTGTGAACCGGTGTGAACCACCTCTGAGCTAGACCTTGAGTGGATCAGGCTTTTGCCTGTGTGCGACTGCAGACCAAGAGACAACAGAAATGGGGGAAAGGGACATTCACATCTGCCCAGCAGTGACCTCAAAAGGATGAGGAATAAGAGACCTGTTCTCTTTGGTGTGTAAGAGCCACCGCACGCGTGTGACATCTTGAGAGAGTCAGAACTTTCCCATGGTACCCCTTCCTTCCTCCTCCCCATCTCAGCCAAATTGCTGCCTTAAGAAATTTAACTGTGTCTAATCCTGCATGCACTGCTTGGGTCTCACCACGGCAAACAGGCTAAAAAGCACATTTCTTTTTAGAGAGGACAGGGGTGTTCCTTCTGCACACCCCACCCCCAAAATCAGGCCTTCATCTCTAGGTGTTCTTGTGGCTGGGAGACCCCCCCAAAAAATAATAATAATAACCAGTGCACCTCTCCAGCATGGTATGTTTCTGCCCCTGAATCGTGACGATACTCACCTCCATTAAAAGAGAGAGAGAGAGAAGTTGCAGGTTTCTTCTGCTGCCATCAGGGACTTATATACAGGTGTGTAAGGACAGACAATTCCCTGGGAAGGTACAGCTGGTGGGCAGGTTACAATTAATTTACACCCAAACCAGACACGCAAACGATTCGGATACGTTCCGCTGTTTGCTTGCGGGAAAGGGAAGAGGCCGAACGAAGGAGAGAAAGGGACCGGGGATTCTCTTCTCCCGGAATCCCTCGGATTCTTTATTATTGACTTTAAAAAATAAGATTGAGGGATTGAGGGGAAAACACTGTGTAGAGCAACGAGAGGGCAGGAGGACGGGGAGAACGTGTCTCTCTGCCAAAGCTGGAGTGGGAAGTTTCTCTCGCCCAAGGGAAACGTAGCATTGCCAGCGAGAGAAGTAGAAATCCAAGACCGAAGATAATCCAGGGAAAGCCACAGAAACGGGCGTCCTTCCCACGAAGGCAAAAAAAGGGGGGGGCCGCCCCAGAGAAAGCGGGGAGGACTCAGTCCCGACATTCGACTTTTCAAGGCCGGCCGCCATGGAAGGGAGAACAGGTTTTTTTGGGGGGGGGGAGAGGGTAAGTAGCCACCTGCCCCTCCTCTTGCAGCAGGAGTCCCTTGGCGGAAGTCCCGTCTGGTCCAGGGCAGCTGATCCAGGGCAAACAGCAAGCTGGCAAGTCTGATGCCAAGGAGGCAGGAGAGAGAGAGAGAGAGACGCAGGGTCCCCAGAGTGGATCTTTGGCACTGTTTGGGTAGGCAGGAGGGACTGGGTGGGGCGGGAGCATTGTTGGGCCTGTACAGGCACTCGGGTGAACTTGGGGACTCACGAGAGTCATGGCTTGCATCCCCAGATCCGCAAGAACCCAGAACCCGTGGCAAGATGGCAGGCCCGCGGGGTCAGTCCCAGAGCCGAGATCGGGGCCTGTAGACCAAGCGAGGCAAGGACGAGTGGCACCCATGAACCTTTGAGGCCGCTGCCGCAAAATCTGGCAAGTGCTTTTAAGGAAGGTTGAGAGATTAGCACGGCGAGGAAGTGGAAGCAGAGAGAGAGAGAGAGAGAGAGAGGCCGGGTGACACGGAGAAGGCAATGAGCAGGAAGGGCCTGGCAGCCGCCTCCCCGTTGGCACCACAAATATCAAAAGCGTCAGTCTGTATTTTGCTGCCCGCTGCTCTCTGCCACCGACACATTTTGGCCCAGGTCCTACCAACCCTCCACAAGTCAAGCACTGCTTACAAATGTCTTATGTGTTAGTAGCCCAGCCGGGGCGCCGGAAGCTGCTGGTGTTGGGTCCAGCCAGGCCTGTCTCTTTCCCCCCCGAGAAGGCCGGGCTTCTACCGTCTTTTGGAAACGCAGGTGCCCGACAAGAAGTCCGTCTGAAGCCAGAATAAGTGCTGAAGGTTTTAAGGGAGGCGGGGGACGGGGGGGGGAGGTGCCCCTCCTGGGCTCACCCCGCCTGCAGTTCTTAAACGCCACACGTGTTTTGAAGTCAAACCCCCGTGCTCTGGCTGGTCTCTTCCTGAAGGTTGAACTTGCTTCGGCGTTTCCCTGGAAGGCGGAGAGACAAGGAGCCGCTGTGAAAGGCAACGGCGCAACCGTCGTCGCAGTGGCAGGGCAGCCAAACAGGATAATAATCTAAGAGAGGGGATGTCAACTCCTAAAACATTCCTAGGCCTGTTTTAGTAGTTGCCATAAAAAAAGGGGGAGGAGGAGGAGGAGGAAGCCCATCTGGAAGAGCAGAGCAACAGTTTGAAAGTGAAAGAACACCCCAACTCTTCTCTTGAAAAGATTGTAACTAAACTACCAGAGCTTTTTGCCTGCAAATATATTGAATTGGAGGATGTGAATGATGACACCCAGCCTTGGAGAAACTTATTTATGACACACCCAAGGGGGAGGAAACAGGGTCACGGGGGATTTTAAATTACATAGGCCAGAGTTCGCTTCATGCAGGGCAGTGCCAGTATATCGCCTCTAATAAATCCTTTTGACATTTTTTGAAGTTTGGTTCGAGAATCACGACTTGATTAGGGCAATTGCTGGAATCCTGACAGGGGAAACTTTCTCTCCGGGGAAAGCCGGACATTGCAAGCTGCGGAACAATTCCCGAAAGCCTTGGCTGAAATCTCAACAGGGCCCAATTTCTGAAGAGAGAAGATGTTTTTCTTTTCAATATCAGCCTTCCTACCTGCAAGGGGGAATGAATGGGGCTAACCTACTTAACAGGTATGTTAGGGGACCCTGAGATTGATAAGCTAAATAAGAAACGTCTCTTCCTTCCTTACATTAATGGACATGATGATGAACTATCCTGCAAAGCTGACATTCTTGTTTTAGGGATTGCTTGGAGGCAGGTGGACTCTCTTGGTTCCCACCACTCCAGGAAATGCCATCCTTTGCCCATTTTGTCCAACTCATGCTAATCACCGTAAGGTCTAGGCTGGTATTTTTTTTTTTTTTTTTGACCTTGGCAGCTTTCAAACTTCCAGAATTCTCCAGCAATCTGGTTACCATCTCAGGAGCCTCATGGCGTGGTTGAGCCAACCCAGGAGGAGGAGCAACCCCTGGCAATGTCATGTTGGCTTCCCAATCCCAGCCAGGATGTTTGAAATCTTCCTTGAGGGTTAGGAACTTTTGAGGATTTCACACAGGGTTGGCCCCTAAGCCCCCGTAAGGGGAACACCAAGGAGAGAAGGTGGGGGAGGGAGGAAAAGAGATTGAGGGAGGGAGAACGAGAGGAAAAGAGATTGAGAGGGAGAAAGAGAGAAAGAGGGAGAAAGAGAGGAAAAGAGATTGAGGGAGAAAGAGGGGGGAAAGAGACAGACAGAGAGGAAAAGAGGGAGAGAGAGAGAGAGGAAAAGAGATTGAGAGAAAGAGAGAGAGGAAAAGAGATAAAGGGAGAAAGAGGGGGAAGAGAGACAGAGGAAAAGAGACTGAGAGAGGGAGAAAGACAGAGATTGAGAGAGAGAGAGAGGTGGGAAAATGTGTGCTAGCTTATTACTTATTTGGGGATTTCTTTTTTTAATTGATTGATTGATTGAAATATATTCTGTGTTCTTGGGTGGGCTGCACCAAGGGAGGCTCGTCCAATTTCACTGTACACATGTTGTGCATTGACAATAAAGGAGAGAGGGAGGGGGGGGAGGGAGGGAGGGGGAGAGAGAGAGAGAGAGAGAGAGAGAAAGAAAGAAAAAGAAGAAAGAAAGAAAGAAAGAAAGAAAGAAAGAAAGAAAGAAAGAAAGAAAGAAAGAAAGAAAGAAAGAAAGAAAGAAAGAAAGAAAGAAAGAAAGAAAGAAAAAGAAAGAAAGAAAACACAAATGAAGGAGAAATCTGAAGATATTTACCTTGTGACTTTTTTAAAAAAGGAAGGGACTCCAGGCTATGGCAGAGAGGCCTGTGTTAAATGTGGTTCTCAATTGTGCCAAAGAAAGAGAGATTTAGCGGGAAGGCTGGAAGGAAGAAGAAAGAGAAACGGGAGAAAGAGCCTTTAGCGCCCAGAAAGCAGACGCCACGGAAAGAGATGACAAGCGAGGCGCCTGGAGAAAGGGGGCACCCCCTAAGTGGCTGGATGTGACCCCACCCCCACCTGGACCATCCTTTCCTCCTGCCCCATCATCGCCTTCTCCCTAAGCCCTTTAGCTCCCCAAATCTCTGGCCTCAAAAAAGGACGCCAGCTTTTCTCCTTTCCCTCATAAACCGCAAAGCAATGCGGGCAGCCCCTTCCCTCCATATCCGATGCTTTTAAGGTGCCAACCTGGCCTTTTTAATTCCCTTTTCCAGGGGTGGGCTTCAGAAATTTCAGCGAGGGGGTTCTCTGCCCGGTTGCTGGGTGGGCGTGGCCTAGTCGGCCTCCTGCACCTGGGCTCCTGAGGCTTTTTCCCCCGAGCCTCCGGGAGGGCGAAAACGGCCTCCCCCGGGGCTCCGGAGGCTCTTTGGAACTGGAAAAAGGCCCATTTCCGGCCTTTACCAAACTTTCCTCAGTGCCATCTTGTAGGCCGATGTTATGGTTAGCCGGCAGCAGGTGCGGACGGCTGAGGAGAGCGAGGACTCAGATGAGGGGCCAGGACCATCAGGGAGTGGACTGCTGCCTTCAGAGATTGTGGGGGCTGGCAGCAGCGATGAGGAGGTTCCCGAGGAGCCTGTGCCAACTGCGCGTGCATGCAGGGCTGCGTGCAGGAAAGAGCCGTTGCAACAGTCCTGGGTGACTCGGGAGTAAGGCTGCAAGGGAATGGCTCCTTCCTTCAAGAAGATAAAAGCCAGCCGTGAATTGGACATTCTTTGCAGGAAGCAAAGACGTTTTGAAACTCAGCCTCGTGGACATTACAGTATCTTAAGTTGCTGATTCTTGGTAGCCTCGCAGAGTTTCGTCCAGGCTTGTGCTTATCAAAGTTAATTAGTTTGCAGCAGCCTTTTAACCGGGGATTCGTAAGACTCATTAAAAGGTTTCTTTTCCCTTTGGTTATTGTTTGTTTTATTGGAAAAGGGTTTGGGTCAGAACAGCCGAAGGAGACTGCGAGCTTTTGGGGACCAAGGCTTCTGAAGGGAACTCAAGGGGGCTGCCCAGAACCGAAATAATCAGGGGACGGTCCCAACCGCTCGCCCCGGACGTGGAAGGGGCTTACCTGTTGCCGCATTTTTGTCATTCAGGAGCTTGGTCTGGCTGCTAGGGATGATTTTCAGATCGACAGCCTCGGGGGATTGGGGCGAGTTCTGTATCCTCGAGGCCATGAGGGCATTGAGATACTGCAAACGGGTGACCTTCGCAGGGCAGAAGACGGATGAAACAGTGTTAATAGTAATAATAATCGATGCTATTGCTCCTGCAACATGCTACAACTGTTCCAAATGCAAAACACAAGCAGAGGAGTTTCATTTTCAGTTTCAGTTTACCAAGCAGCTTTAGTACAGAACAGCTGAGCTAAGCCACACCCAGGCTCCTTGCTGTCTCCTTCTTGCTCACACAGCAAATTCTGCTTCAGTTTCCAAACAGCCCTCAACTCTCTCACACACTGACAGGACATTAGCCAGATGAATATTGATGGATGCTGGTAGGCAGAGGCAGAATTTTTTCCCTTATTTTCCTCAAAAAACTAGAACCGTAAAGCCTACAAACCTGAAATTTGGCACATATGTTCCTCTTAGCTTCTAGGGGCTCACTAAGAAAGGATTTTTCGAAATGACCATCAGAACATTAGTATTTCCTATATTATTATTATTAACACGCTCTGATGCTAAGGAGTTCTACTCCCCCTCCCCACCTGAAAAGAAATCTCTTCCAAATGCAAAACACAAGCAGAGGAGTTTCAGTTTCAGTTTCAGAGCACCAAGCAGCTTTAGTATAGAATAGTTGAGCTAAGCCACACCCAGGCTCCTTACTGTCTCCTCCTTGCTCACACAGCAAATACTCTTCCAGTTTTCAAACAGCCCTCAACTCTCACACACACTGACAGGACGCTAGCCAGATGAATACCGATGGATGTTGGTAGACAGAGGCAGAATTCCCCCCCCCCCCTTATTTTCCTCCCCAAAAAGTAAGCCTCACCACATAGTTTTGTAGCGAAGCACGGGTATCCAGCTAGTTTTTAAATAAATAAATAAATTTCTGCCAAGCCGTCCCCAACTTTCACCGTCTCCCCACTCCCAGCCTCTACCTGGCAAATCACGGAAGGCGCTCACCTTGATGAACTGCAGATCGGTGAGGGCCCGAACGGTGTAGTCAGGGCAATATGCTGAATAATTGGTGGGATCTGTGCCGTCAACCTGTTGTTCGCGACGATTCATCCGTAAAGTGGACACTGGGGACTGGTGGACTGTCGAGAAGGAAAAAGCAACGCTGGGTGTGATGACAAAATGGCGTGACACAAAAATAACCAGGTCACAAAAAATAGAATTGCCTCCAACTTGGTCCCCAATGTCCAATTATCCTCGGCTGGAAATCAAACTCTTAAAGAAAACAGTTTACGAAGGGAGTAAATGCAGTCTGCACCCAAAGTAAAGTTAATTTGAAATAAAAAAAAAACCAAACACAAACCGCACTGAAGGAATTACTACGCTTGCAGACCAGATAATGCAGCCACCCCAGTTGGGAGGAAACCAAAATACAGACAAGCTCAGGCAACAATAAAACACACTTTGCTTCCAGCACTGGGCCATGCGCACTTTGTCCTTTTAAACAGTCATCCAAGCTGCAACCATGAAGGGGATCAGGGCCCTTTCCACCCCCATAGACCACGCCATTCATGTTTCTCCCTTATCTTCTCCTCCCTGCATGCCCTAGGATGGAGAAGGGATGGCCCTGAGTCCTCCTCTGACTGCCCAGCCGGCCTCTGCCCTTCCCCAGCTTCCTCCACAACCTCCGGAGCCACACTTCGACTCCCTGTCGGCTGTTCCTCCTCTCCCTCGGAGTCAGACTCCAACAGAGCCTCCAACACTGGGGGAGGCTTGGGAATAAGATATCAAAGCCATTCACTTTGTTTTCTTTTTTTAAACTTTTCTTCTCACGGAAACCAGCCCACAGTTCCAAAGGTATTAAAGTTGCCTTGGCTAAAAAGTAAAAAGACCCAGGCCCACCCTCTCTTCACCCTAGGGCACGCAGGGAGGAATGGAGAAGGGAGCAACGTGAGTTGCGTGGCTTACGGAGGAGGAAAGGGCCCTGATTCCCTTCATTTAACTGCAGCTGGGAACACAGTGTATAAAAAGAGGAAGCTGCGCACAGCAAGTTGTTGGAAGCAAACGTAAATTTATCTGGCACCGTCGTGGCTTATCTGTGTTCCTGGCGTCTTCCCAACTGTGTGTGTTTTGCCGTGATTTCAAGTCTGAAATTCCTGCTCCTGCCCTGCCAAACTAATTACTTCCGGTTGGTTGGTTTGGATTTTAAGTTACAGTTTGCGTGTCCCTTGTTTTGGACTGAATTTTCTACAGTTAAAGGCTGTTCCTGGGAGAGTTTTTCTCCAGCCAGGAGGTAACCTGGACATTGGGGGCAAAGTTGGAGATAATAAAGGGACTCTTATTGCTTATTTGACTGTGTTGCCCTCAGGCCACGTCCCTTTGGGTCATCCCAGGGCCGCTCACCTCAAGACTGAGCGAAGGACTCACCTGAAGAAGGAGCGGTAAGTGCAGACACACCGTAATAAGTGAAGGCGCCGTTTTCAAACTTCAGTCCTTCCTTCCCAATCTCAACTTCCACCCTGCCCTGGCAGAGGAAGCAAAAAGGCAACATGAGCCTTTGACCTAGGAGTGTTTTTTGTGTGCGTTGTGCGTGGAGAAGCAACAGTATGAATTTCCAAGGTTCCCAAAGCCCGGGATTGTGGTTGCTCTCTTAACTTCTTCTATAGAAAAAAGGCTGCTTCCCCCACCCCTTAATTCTTCCTTTCCCTGTTTAGGGGGTCACCCCAAATACATGCTCCACAAAGACGCACGCAGCAATCATCCATCTGCTTTTTTGCTTTTTTTCCCCCCCCAGATACCAAAACCCATTTTTCATCAGAGGCAATGATGATAAAACTCTGTCCTCTGCTCGTTTAAAGTGCAAATGGTGGAAAATAGAGAGCCATCCTAAAGAAAGGATGCCAAAGGGACAAAATGAAATTGTAAATGACCAAACTTAAAAACCATGTTCAAATTATGTTAAATAATTAAAACGGAATTGTTCTGCGGCGAATTAACCGTGGCAAGTTGGCTGTGGCGAGGCGTGGCGCAGCGGCCTCTCGCCTCTCAATCGGGAGGCTGTGAGTTCGATCCTTGGCAGAGGCAGATATTTCTCTCTCTCTCTGGGCACAATGAGAATCTACCTGCTGAACAAAACTCTGCAACGGCGACAGGAAAGGCACCCGGCCAGTAAAACACTCAGCTAGCTCCATTCAGTTGCCCAGACTCCACCCCCCCGCAAGGGATTATGGGATCATTCAAAGAGTTGGCTGTGGCGAGTTATCCTCCTTTCTCAGCAATCCAGCCTCCTCTTGGCCCGGGCATCTCACCTTTTCTCCATATCCGCTCCCAGATGGCATTAGGACTCACTACTCATCCCAGAGAGATTGCAGTGCCAGTGGCTTTCCCCCCTCCCCGACACCCTCCTCCTCAACGGAGTGGCCGAAGAGCGAGGGCTAGCAGCATTTCAGGCTTTTGATTCAGGAGATGGGGAGCCCTGCGCCGAGTTCTACTCGTGCATCAGAAAGGGCATGCCAGCAAAAAGGCACAATGGACTGGACCATTTTGAATTCCGGGGGTAAGAAGCGACGCCGCAGAAGGCATCCTTTTTATTTGACAAACTGAGCAAAATTAAAGTCTTGGAAACGAAGACCTGCTAAGTGCTAAGTTGCAGGTCTTCCAGTTGCAATAGGATTTATGGAAGGATTGAAAGTGGTTGGTTCCATGCCTCCCCATTTATAGACAGTGGTGCATTCCCCCCTCATATAGCAATAGCCCTTAGATTTATATACCGCTTCACGGTGCTTTTACAGCCTCTCTCTAAGCGGTTTACAGAGTCAGCCTCTTGCCCCCCAACAATCTGGGTCCTCATTTTACCCACCTCGGAAGGACGGGAGGCTGAGTCAACTTTGAGCCTGGTGGGATTCGATCTGCCAAATTGCAGTAAAAGTAGCTTGCAGTACTGCACTCTAACCACTGTGCTACTGATGCTCAAATATCTATATCTATACATATCTATATATATACATATCTATCTATCTATATCTATACCTATCTATATCTATATCTATATCTATACATGTATGTGTATGTGTATACACACACACACACACACACATATATATATATACATATACATATACATATATACACAATACAGAAGCCTGATGATGGCAGATGAGATTCTGCCGAAACGTTGCTACAACTTTAAAAGCACAACTACAATGACATGGAAAAATACCCGAGCAAAGCTGAATACCATACATGTAAGTACCCGCTAAAACTTAAGAAAACATATATACACATACATACATACATACATACATACATACATACATACATACATACATATATATACATACATACATACATACATACATACATACATACATACATATATATATATACACACTCTCTCCATGTAATGCCTTCCAGTATGGCTGGCTGGCTGCTAGCTGGCTGGGGAATTCTGGGAGTTGAAGTCCACAAGTCTTAAAGTTACCAGATCCCTGCCCTACCTCAACATACGATCGCAACTTACACAGGTTTAAGCACCCCGCAGACCAGATATGCCCCACGGGCCTTGAGTTGGACACCCCTGGCTCTACTGGGAAGTACTCCTCACTCCGTGTGACCGTCTGCTCCCCCTGGGCTGGGTCTGGAGGCCAAAGTCTGCTTTGTTGCGTTGTTTGATAGACTTTTGCCTTCTTTCTGAGAAGTTGCTTTCGCCTCCAACCCGGTTCTTGAACCAGGGCCTCCATCCTCCCTCAAGGTCCTCCCTGCGTGCCCCTAGACCCGTGATGGCGGACCTATGACACACATGCCACAGGTGGCACGCAGAGCCATTTGCACGGGCACGCAAACCCCAAGCAAACTTACCTGCACTGCGCATGCTTCCCAGATGATTTTTGGCCCGTTGGAGGCCTTTTTTCGGCCTCTGAGAGGCTCAAGGGAAGCCTCTGCAGCCTTTGGAGGCCGAAAAACAGGCCCGTTTCGTCATTTCCTGTATTTCCGGAAATACCGAAAGCGATGAAACGGGCCCCAAATCAGGCTGGGAGGTGTGTGTGCATGCGCAGTGCCAGTAAGGGGGCGGCGTGGGGGGGGGATCGCGCACGCATGTGCAATGGGCGTGCGCCTTGCCTTCTGAGAGCTGGCACGCGAGCGCAGTTTTTGGCACGGGAGCCCCCAAAAGGTTAGCCACCCCTGCCCTAAACGTATCGTACCTGCAGGATGAGCACAAAGTAATTGACCGGCTGGTTGCGCTGATACAGGTAATGTTCAGCAGCCAAGCGGTTGCAGTCGTCAAATTTCAATTCTTGGTTGACGCTGGGATGCTGCAGCAGATGCAGGAGGACCTTCTCCGAGATCCGGCCTGGGCTGAAGAGATCCACCTCTGGAGGAGAAAGGGAGGAGGGTGAGTGGCAGCAGGGGAGGCAGAAAACACGGTGGCATCGTTTGTTTTTTTTAAAAACAGGAGTCTTCACACAGCCCCAAAAGCCAATGCAATCCTAAATTGCATTACAATCGAGGTCCAGTGAGGTACTAATACCGCTCTATAAACCCTTAGTAAGGCCACATCTAGAATCCTGCATCCAGTTTTGGTCACATTATAAAAAAGATGTTGAGGCTCTAGAAAAAGTACAGAGAAGAGCAACCAGGATGATGAGGGGACTGGAGGATGAAACATACGATGAACGGTTGCAGGAACTGGGCCTGGCTAGTCTACTGAAGAGAAGGACCAGGGGAGACATGATAGCGGTCTTCCAATATTTGAGGGGCTGCCCCAGAGAGGAGGGAAGGGGTCAAGCTATTTTCCAAAGCAACCGAAGGCCAGGCAAGGAATAATGGATGGAAACTAATCAAGGAGAAGTTCAACCTGGAAATAAGGAGGAATTTTCTGACAGTGAGAACAATCCACCAACGGAACAGAAGTTGCCTTCAGAAGTTGTGGAAACTTCATCCCTGGAGGCTTTCAAGAAGACACTAGACTGCCATCTGTCAGAAACGATGTAGGGTCTCCCACTTGGGCAGGGGGTTGGACTAGATGACCTACAAGGTCCCTTTCAACTCTGATTATCTGTTTGATCTGTTTGTTTGACACCTGGGTAACTTTATAGAAATTCTTTTTTTTTTTTTGCCCAAGTGGGATTCGACACACAAGCTATTTGTCTTCAGTGCACAAACTCTCAGTGCACATATAAGCAACAAGGGATAAATCGCGATCATAGTCATCATAAATACATTCATCAGGAATCATAGGATACAACACTCAATGATAGTCACAGGATACTTAAATAAGCAACATCAATTGCACTGGGAAACTAAATAAAACAATACACAAATTTTACATTCCTTTATGCCAATTTGGAGGGATTTTGTAACAACAGTTGAACCAACAGTTGAGTTGGCAATAAATGTTGAAGATATCAAAGTGAAATGATGTGAACGTTGACAGCAAAACAGATTATTAACACTGTTTTATGCGTGTGAAGAGTTCTTTAACTGACTACAAAAACCATGGGTCTTTTTCCCTTTTGAATCATATCATTAGTTCATTTGTTATATTTATATTTTATCTCTAGAACATGGGGAGATGTTCCAGATAAAGAAAATAGACTTGCAATCAAAAGACGTATCTGGCATCAGAAACACGAAGATAGGGCTCCAATTATTAAGTGGTTTGCAGAATTTATTAAAATGTGGATTATGAGGGACTGCAGTTAATCATTATGGTATTTACTGATGTATTTATGTCTCTAAATATTATGTCACGAATGAAGGCGAATAAATACACACACACACACGTTCCAGAATAATGTTGCAGGATCTAATCTGGGTCACCAGAATGAGTGTTTTGGGCTATTTTATTTATTTATTCTGTTTGCCACCAGCTTATTGGGTCTAAAACCTTGAAAGAATAAATTTGTGATCCCAGGGACCGACCCTGATTGGATCCTGTAAATATTATGTCTTGGGCTTTTTCCAGCTTTTTTGTTTTTTTTTGTTTAAATTTCATTTATTCTTTTATGCATTCATTTTTTAATCTGCATGGATGCTCAAATTTAAGAGGGGATGTGGGGTGGAACTGGAAGACGGGTTTCTTCCCTGGCTAAAGAGCTGAAGAAGCTTCTTGGATGAGAAGTGAAACGTCCTCAAAGCAAAAAAACAGAAAGTCCAGTTGCCTCTTGAAAAAAGCCCCTTTGGGTTCCTTGGCTAAACAAACTCCACTCAGTAAGTAAAAATAAATATATTTCAGTTATTGGGGTGTGTGGTTTGACTGGTTTGACCCCGTGTGGTTTGACCCCGTGTTTAATCTTATGCTTAGAAATTAAAATACTGCAGCAAATAAATTGAATTTAAGAGAACAATCTTGTGCTAGAGATTCTTGATACCCCAAAAACATGACCATCCTACCTACGGGAGCCTAAGGGAGATCCTTTTCCTTTTTTACAGTTCAAGATTAAACAGCACAAAATGTTGCTAGTCCTCTACAGGATGTTTTCTATTTTTTTCCAGGTGGCCCCAGTTAAAACAAAAAACAAAAGAAAGAAATAGAAAAGATAAGCTGGGGTTGGACTAGAAGACCTTCAAGGTCCCTTCCAATTCTAAAAATCAGTTTGGCCTTGTGGTTAAAGGCACCAGGGTGAGCAAGTGAGAGACCATGAGTTCAAGTCCTGCCTTTGCCATGGAAGCCAGCGTCTTGGGGTGATTTGGGGCCAGGCCTTCTCTCTCTTAGCTCAACCCACCTCACAGGGTTGTTGTTGTGAGGAGAAAGTTGTGTTGAGAGTCTGTTGCCTGGAGTTATTTTGAGGATGTTTGTTACCCTCTTTATTATTTGTAAAAACAATAAAGGCGAGATACAAATAAATAAGGGATGTGGTGGCTCAGTAGCTAAGACGCTGAGCTTGTCAATGAGAAAGGTCGGCAGTTCAGCGGTTCGAATCCCCAGCGCCGCGTAACGGAGTGAGCTCCCGTTCCTTGTCCCAGCTTTTGCCAACCTAGCCGTTCGAAAGCATGTAAAAGAAATGCGAGTAGAAAAATAGGGACCCCTTTGGTGGGAAGGGAACAGGGTTCCGTGCGCCTTCGAAGGCGTTTAGTCCTGCCGGCCACATGACCACGGAGACGTCTTCGGACAGCGCTGGCTCTTCTTCGGCTTTGTAACGGAGATGATCAGCGCCCCCTAGAGCCAGAAACGAGTAGCATGGATGTGCAAGGAGGGGAACCTTTACCTTTTGACCTCACAAATAAATAAAATAAAATAAAATAACCACGGTTCCACAATAGGACAGCGTTTCTCCCCTGGCCTTACCTCTAGATAAGAAGCGCTGGGTAGCTAGGAGTAGCTGAGGGGAGATTTTCACCTTGTACTCGTTGTCGGAAACTTTGAACAAGGAGAAATCTTCTTTCCGGCGGTCCATCAGGCTTCCAAGCGGAGGCGGCTTCTTCTTCAATCGGTTCTCCCCTGGAGTTTGGAGGAGGAGGAGGAGGAGGCGAAGAGACAGCAAGAAGAATCAAACTGCACAAACGGTTGTGGACCAAGATCTTGCACAACTCTGGGCCAACACAGAACATCGTTATGGGTGCAGGCTTCCATTTTGCATCCTGGTGTCATTTTAAATCCCCACGGCTGCAAGATTCCAGCCCTCGTGGCCTTAAAACCTCTCCAAGGGACCCCAAGGAAGGAATCTCAAAGGCCAAAGCTCCAGGCATGGTGGGTGCTTCATCACGGAGGGTTTTTTTAAACAACTATTTTGTCTGAAATGGTATCAGGTCTCCTGAGCCGGGGTTTGCTTTTACAGACATTGAGTAGGAGGGAAAAAAATACTTCTTTCTTTCTTTCTTTTAGTAAGCTACACAACTTGGAAGGAGTCAAGAAACAACAAAGGGAGAAGATTCGCAGCTCAGGATTGACCTGTGGGGTCCTTGGTGCGCTCTGGGTTTGGTGGTTTTCTCGCAAACTATCCCAAAGGTGCCCCCCCCCCCCCCTTTCAAGAAGCAACTGGACTTTCTTGGTCTTCCTTGAAAATGTTTAGCTTCTCATCCAAGAAGCTTCCTCAGTTCTGAAGAAAATGTCTTCCAGGAAACACAAAAAAAAGCCCAGGTGCCTTTTGAAAAAAGCACCTTTTGGGTCAACCATGACCTGGATGACTGAGGATCTCTGTAGACAATTACCCAAACTAGGTAGCATCATCAGTGCTAGTGATGTACTAGGACTGATAATGTTACCTAGTTTGGGTAATGAAACGTCTGCAAGAAAACCAACCAAGTTCAGAGAGCACCAAGGACCCCCCCAGTCCTCCCCCTCTTCCTCCTCCTCCTTTTTATCCTGATAATGTTACCTAGTTTGGTGATGAAATGTCTGCAAGAAAACAACCAAGTTCAGAGAGCACCAAGGACCCCACAGTCCTCCTCCTTTTCCTCCTCCTCCTCCTCCTCTTTAGCCTCATAATGTTACCTAGTTGGGTAATGAAACGTCTACAAGAAAACCAACCGAGTTCAGGGTGCACCCCTCAGTCAAGAAACAATTATATGGACTCTGAGGGAGATATGCATTACCTGCCATAATAAAAATTATGAACAGTGCTTTTCAGCTCACTTTAAGGATGTTCTGCTAACTCCAGTGAACATACGATTAAGCTCCAGAGAAATATTTCCTTTTATACTTTACTACATTTTGACAAAAGATAATACATTTTAAAAAGCCCGAAATGTTTCCAACTTCCCTCTCAATAAACGTTCCCAACAATTCCCACAATCTTCCTGCCATCAGGGGAGGGACAGAAGAGTCCTGAAGCCCAAAACATCTAGAGGCCATGTTTGTTTCTTGACCTTTGCTGCAGAAATGGAAGCTTTCGTGGGCTTTGTAAGTAGAATTAATCTCCTGTCCTCAATGCTTGGGTGTGCTAAACCGGGCAATAAATGTGATAGAATTTGGGGAGGAAAGCTTGAAATGGAAGCTAGTGTGAAGACTGCTTGCTAAACCCTTGAAATAACTCAATTGTTTTCCTGAACCGCATCGATTTTAAAATGGGTGGACTTCCAACTCTCAACATCGGTTGACGGTCACATCTATGCGACCAGGTGGTATGCTGCCGGTTTAACAACTGGTTCGGTGAGCGAGCAGCGCTGAAAATGGAGCATTTAGAACAAAGGGTCTCCAAACTTGGCATGTTTAAGACTTGTAGACTTCAACTCCCAGAATTTTAACTAACATGACTGGTACTAACACGACTGGAGGAGGAATTCTGGGAGTTGAAGTCCACAAGTCTTAAAGCTGACACGGTTGGAGGCCCCTGTCCTAATAGAAGAGAATAATTGTAGCTCAGAGTTGAACCAGTGGGGTCTTTGATGTTCTCTTGAGCTTTGGTGGTTTTCTTGCAGATGTTTCATTACCCAACCAGGTAATATCATCAGTGCTAGAAGGGAGCAGGGTTTGGTCTGTGAGTTGGGATTGGTCTACTGCAAGGGTCTCCAAACTTGGCAAGTTTAAGACTTGTGGACTTCAACTCCCAGAATTTCTAAGCTAACGTGACTGGAGGAGGAATTCTGGGAGTTGAAGTCCACAAGTCTTAAAGCTGCCAAGTTTGGAGAGCTCTGCCTTAGGGAGATACACGTGGTGGGACCCAGAAGGGCTTTCTCTGTGGTGGCTCCTCCCTCTGGAACATCATCCTCCCCAGAGATTAGAACGGTCCCCTCATTAATACTCTTCCGGAAGGCACTGAAGACCTGGATCTGCCAGTGGGCCTGGGGAACCCAGAGCAGGATGGAGCCCATCAAATGGCTTGTGTGAAGTGCTGTCGCCAGGGCGTGCAGTGGGGGTGGGTTGTTTTATTGTATTATTTTATTAATTTATTATATGATTCTCTCTTTGGTTAGTTTTATCGGTTTTCATATGAGGTTTTTATATCCTTGTAAGCCACCTCGAGTCACCATGGGCGAATAGGCAATATAAATTTCCTAAATAAATGAATAAGCTCCCAGAATTCCCCTAATTCCGGCATGCTGGAGTTGATGTGCACACATAGCAATAGCCCTTAAGGCTTATATACAGCTTTATAGTACTTTACAGCCCCTGTCTAAGCAGTTTGCAGAGTCAGCCTCTTGCCCCCAACAATCCGGGTTCTCATTTGACCCACCTCGGAAGGACGGAAGGCTGAGTCAACCTGGAGCCCGTCAAGATTGAACTGCTGGTAGTGGGCAGAGTTAGTCTGCAGTAGAGCATCCTAACTACTGCACCACTGTGGCTCATACTATGATGCTGGTTCTCCTTTCTCCAAGTTGATAGGAGCTTCATCAATGTTAGTATTGCACATTTTATAGCTCCCTTATTAGGTGGGTGGTTCCTTCTCCTTCCTTCCTTCCTTCCTTCCTTCCTTCCTTCCTTCCTTCCTTCCTTCACTTTCCTTCCTTCCCTCCCCTTCCCAAGCAATAGCCTTCTGCCTCTTGCACCTAACAATCTGGGTCCTCATTTTACTGACCTCAGAGGGACGGAAGGATGAGTCAATCTTGAGCTGGTCAGGATCGAACTGCTGGCAGTCAGCAGAGTTAGTCTGCAGTACAGCATTCTAACCACTGCACCACTGTGGCTCATACTTTGAAGCTGGTTCTCCAAGTGAATAGAAGCTTCATCAACGTGAGCATTGCACATTTTATAGCTCCCTTATTAGATGCTTGCTTGCTTCCTTCCCTTCTTCCCTACCTTACCCTACCCTACCCTTCCCCTTTCTAAGCAGTTTACAGAGTCAGCCTCTTGTCCCCCAACAATCTGGCTCCTCATTTGACCCACCTCGGAAGGAGGGAAGGCTGAGTCAACCTTGAGCCTGGTGGGATTTAAACTGCCAAAAGTGCAGTCAGCCGGTAGTCAGCAGAAGCAGCCTGCAGTACCGCACTCTCACCACCGCGCCACTGTGGCTCATAAAGTCGCTCATGAAGCTTAAGAAGCACTGAGAGAACTGTATGCCGAGAAGTTGCTTTGTTCCCTCGTTCTAGAACCTTCTCTCTCTGGGGTGGTGGGCTTCACGGCTCTAGAAGGCAAAGAGACCTGTCGTCCTAGCAACGCAAACTTAGCTGAGCTAAGGAAAACAAGGAGAGTCAGAAGAGAAGACGCCCTTAAACAGGCCATACCTGTGTTGGAACCCACTTACTGTAGTCGTCTGACTCATCCATGATCTCCGACTTGATGATCTCTTCAATGACGTCTTCCAGGGTCACCAACCCCATGACTTCGTAGAATGGGTCCCCTTCCCCTTCGTTGTTCACCTTCTGCACAATAGCCATGTGGGATTTCCCTGGAAATAGAAGGAGAATATTTCTAGAGCTGGAAGGGACCGCGGAGGACTTCTAGTCCAGCCCCCTGCTTAGGCAGGAAAAAAACCCTACACCACCTTGGACAAATGGCTGACCAATCTCTTTAAAAAAAAAAAAAAAAAAGCTTCCAAGGTTGAAGCATTTACAACTTCTGGTGGCAAGTTGTTCCACTGATTAATTGTTCTAACTGTCAGGAAATTTCTCCCTAATTCCAGGTTGCTTCTCTCCTTGATTAGTTTCCATCCGTTGCTTCTTGTCCTGCCCTCAGATGCTTTGGAGCAGGGGTCTCCACAACCTTGGCAACTTTAAACCTGGTAGACTTCGACTCCCAGAATTCCCCAACCTTGGCAACTTTAAGCCTGGAGGACTTCAACTCCCAGAATCCACCAGGCTTATATATAGTTGCCAAGTTTGGAGACCCCTGCTTTGGAGAATAGCTTGACACCCTCTTCTTTGTGGCAGCCCCTGAGAGATTGGAACACTGCTCTCATGTCCCCCCTAGTCCTTCTTTCCGGTAAACTAGACAAAACTCAATTCCTGAAACTGTTCTTTATATGTTCTTTATATGGAAGAGAAGGAAGCCTCCAAACACGGTGGTGAAGTCTAGAAATAAAAGAGACAAGGCTGCCATGGTTCTCTACCCTGAGCAAGAGGACAGCAGCCAAGGCTTACCCGGGGGGGGGGGGGCGCTCCCCAACCTTTCCAAAGCCATGGATGTGGGGAAACTGTTGGGTGTAGGGCCACAATCATAGTGCAATCCACGGGACCCTCTGCCCTCTGAGATTTGGATCTTGGCAAGCTCAGGTTGTTAAAGGTAAAGCTTCCCCTCCTTGCACATCCGTGCTAGTCGTTTCTGGCTCTAGGGGGCGCTGCTCATCTCCGTTACAAAGCCCAAGAGGCAGCGCTGTCTGAAGACGTCTCCGTGGTCATGTGACGGGCACGACTAAACGCCGAAGGCGCACAGAACGCTGTTCCCTTCCCACTTGAATTTTTTTTTTACGTGCTTTCGAACTGCTCGGTTGGCAGAAGCTGGGACGAGGAACAGGAGCTCACTCCATGATGCAGCGCTAGGGATTCGAATGGCCGACCTTTCTGATCGACAAGCTCAGCGCCTTAGCCACTGAGCCACTGCGTCCCATGAGGTTTTATATATGTATGTATATATGTATATGTGTGTATATGCGTGCGTGTGTGTGTGTGTGTGTGTGTGTATAGTATGCATGCATGCATGAATGTATATAATTATAACATCAAGTTGTTACTCCAAGTTTAATCTTAGCAAGCCTGCTTAGTACAACTTCTGCCTATTAAACAAATCAGACTAGTGTCTTTTTCAACTAATACTTTTTATTAAAAGGCAGAAGCTTTTGTGAACGGCATCTCTCTTCTTCAGAAGGACTCAAGAATGTTTTGAATTGGATCTTGGTGTCTTTGTGCTCACAGATGTAGGAGTTATTGCTCTTATCGTCGGTACTTTAAACTGTGGTTACTTGCCTAGTTAATTTATGCCGACATGGTTGCGAAAGCCAAACGAATGTTCACCAAGCCATGGTAGCAGAGCTCCTGCACCTGGGCTGCAAAGAACAGTGGAGAGCCACTAGGGGGCAATGAGATAGAAAATGCTGCCATCTGGTGGCACATTAGAGTTCTGCAACCCAGAACTGATCCTGAGGTTGCTTTTGATTCTCTCCCTCTTTGCACCTAGAAGAAGGGATTGTTTTGGGACGGGAGGGAAGGCGGGACGCAAATCTATGCAAGAAGACCACTTACAGCCTGGAGACAAAAAACAAAACACAAAACAATTCCAATGATGCCAAACGTTCATCTCCAATCTTTGGGATGCTTTGCTTGGCTTACTGAGTTGAGGCAGCTGATGGGCTGGCTGCCTTTGGACAATTCTGAGCTGTTTGCTTTCATGATAATCCTCCCCTGGCTGGTTTTGAATGCCGACTTTGTTTACGAGCCGCCTTGCCCGTTGCCATGCAGGAAGTGGGGCGCTGATGTTTCTTAAATACAAATGAGCTCTTTAAAAGCACCTGATTTCACTCTTTTGGGCATCCCACTGCATGCCGCAAGACCCTATAGGACCTTGCAGAAAGCAAGAGAAACATCCATTCTCGTATGTTTCTTGAGTGTGTTGAGAAGTTAAGAGAAGGAATAGAATAGAATAGAATAGAATAGAATAGAATAGAATAGAATAGA